TGGAAATTTGTTATTGTTGGCTCCTAATGCTGAATTTGGCTTCCAGTTTCTGTCACCGACGATGCACTTGTACAATGTATGTGTTCCCTTGTCCTGCGGGTATTGGTTTGTGTGTGTGTGTGTGTGTGTGTGTGTGTGTGTGTGTGTGTGTGTGTGAGAGAGAGAGAGAGAGAGAGAGAGAGAGAGAGAGAGAGAGAAGCTGACGCTATGGTTCTCTCGACACCTTCCCAGTAAGGCTTAGGGGGTGGTGGTGTGTGTGCCTGTGTGCGTGTGGGGAGAGAGAGAGAGAGAGAGAGAGAGAGAGAGACCGTTGCAGAGTCTCCCGATGGTAGCATGGTTCCCCTTGCCATTTGCATCAAAGATTGTGACAATTGCTAGGACAGTGCGCACCTCCTCGAAGAGACAGTTGGCGTTAAATAAGTTTTGATACGGAATGAGGTCGGGTACCTGCCACCTGGCATATTTGCACTGCCTACGTTAAATTGATTTTTATACGGAATGAGGCGGGGTACCTGCCACCTGCCATATTTGCACTGCCTACGTTAAAGAGATTTTGATACGGAATGAGGCCGGGTACTTGGCATATGTGCACTGCCTCGATTTAATGTCCTGTCCGAGTTGTGTGGCTCGACAATAGGTAGCTGCTACCTGGTTTTGTCTATCTTCCCTGCGTGCATATGATATAATGATTCACTGCTGAAATATTTCTCAGGAAAAGAGAGGCGGGTTGCGCTTACCCTCCTGTGTCTCGGGGCACTACGGGCGTACTCCCACCGTCCCACGATCACGATCTTAACTGTGCCTTACCACATTGAGGGCCAGACCTGGATGGTGCCTGACCGCAATTACACCCCGAAATAAGGGAAAAGTCCCGACTGTGAGTATGCCCTAAGAGGAATACATTTGGCTATAATGGACCTTACACGTTACAGATGGATCTCCCCCCCCCCCCCCCTCCCCCCCCTCCTTCTCCCTTTTCACCATTTCTGAGACAATTCTCACTTATCCGTTTCATCCTTGTGCAGGGGCCATTCTAATCTTCTGTGTATTGTTCCAAGTTGAACGGATGTCCGGTGCAGTACGGAAGGACAGGACGGCAACTTACAGGGTGTATTTAATTTACGCGAATTTTACGGGTGAGAATACTTAATCCGAGAATGAGTTTTCTATGTGTATCACAGTGTATGTCTATAGATTCTTTGAATTTCTTTCTATTTAAAGTCTGGACATTCGAAGTCTGTGTATTGAAAAGTGTGGGTTAGTGATCTCCGAGCTTTTGCCATCACGGTTACCCAGAACGAATTCCGCTCTAGCAGTCTACTCCTATCTCAGCCACGTACTCCCGTCTATGTATTGAGAAGGCTTAGTGTGGACTAGCAATGTCCCAGGTTATTTAGTCCTGATCACAGAGAATAAACTGCGCTGTCAGCATCCTCCCTTGTCTTTATGA